AAATCAGTGATGTAAGAACTGTACATATTTTGATTAACTATATTGCCGGAATGAAAATCTTTATGCACTAATTTGGCTCCGTGAATTGTATTAAGTCCATCAGCTATGTAATATAAGTTAGCTACTTTAGAACCCCAATCTAATTCAGTATATTTGCTATCTAATAATTTTCGGAGGCTTCCTTGCTTTGCATACTCCATGACCATCATGTAATTACTATCTTTTGGATTTTTAGTTATTCCATAAATCGCAATTGCCGACTCACCTCCCTGCTTATGTTGATTCTTAACCTAAAATATTAATTAAAATAAGATTACTACACTTTAATAATAATAAATTATAATGCTTACTTCTTCTAAAAATTCTTGTTTTATATTTCTAGAATTATCAAGACCTTTTAAACAAACATCTACTTTTCCATTTCTATTCCATTTATTCTCATTATCATTGAATCCTGTAATATATCCGTCAATCCATACTGCCTTAAAAACGGTGCCAAAGCCTCCTTTAGCAAGGTACTTTATATTTGCGAATTTGCTAAAGGGTATCCATTCAATAATGCCTTTACACCCCACTGCATTAAGTTGCGTTTGTTGAATTAATTGATCAATATTGTGATTGTCACTTGTCCAATTATGAAATTCTTCTTTAAGCCTTAATATTAAAAAAATAATAAATATGATAATAATTAAGAGCTACGATTATCGATATTTTTGATTTGCTGTAAAACTTCTGTTATTGGTCAATAACCATGAATCAAACCGAGATCCGATTGTTTTAATGTCTTTCTTTTAATGCATCTTTCTTTTAATGTACCTTTTTTTAATGTGTCTCTTCTAGGTTGTGTCAACAATAATTTGTACTGCCGCCGATTAAGTAGCAGTACGAATTATTGTTAACACAACCTAGGAAAGACACATTAAAGGAAAGACGTTAAAACAATCGGATCTCGGTTGGTTCATGGTTACGTTCGCTTTAAGTATAATAAACATATTGATTGTACTTACTTGCTATAGTGATGCAAATGATTTAGTTATGGTTATGTTAGTTTTGTATTAGAATATTCGTGATTTCTATAGTGACTTACTGTAAAAAATTCTGTTACCGTACTTACCGACTGCACGTGTGTTGTGTTGTTACAAGTGATTTAGTTATGGTTATGTTAATTTTGTATTGGAATGTTTACATGTGTTGTGGTGATAAAAGTGATATAGTTATGGTTATGTTAGTTTGTATTGGAATGTTCGTGATTTCTATAGTAATTTACTGTAAAAAATTCTGTTACTGTACTTACCGACTGCACGTGTGTTGTGGTAATACAAGTGATTTAGTTATGGTTATGTTAGTTTTGTATTGGAATGTTCGTGATTTCTAATAGTGATTTACTGTAAAAAATTATGTTACTGTACTTACATACTGCACGTGTGTTGTGGTGATACAAGTGATTTAGTTATGGTTATGTTAGTTTTGTATTGGAATGTTCGTGATTTCTATAGTTACTGTAAAAAATTCTGTTACTGTACTTACCCACTATTGTGGTGATACAAGTGATTTAGTTATGGTTATGTTAGTTTTGTATTGAAATGTTCGTGATTTCTATAGTGATTTACTGTAAAAAATTCTGTTACTGTACTTACCGACTGCACGTATGTTGTGGTAATACAAGTGATTTAGTTATGGTTATGTTAGTTTTGTATTGGGATGTTCGTGATTTCTATAGTGATTTACTGTAAAAATTCCGTTGCTGTACTTACGAACTATTGTAGTGATACAAGTGATTTAGTTATGGTTATGTTAATTTTGTATTGGAATATTCATGTGTTGTGGTGATAAAAGTGATATAGTTATGGTTATGTTAGTTTGTATTGGAATGTTCGTGATTTCTATAGTGATTTACTGTAAAAAATTCTTACTGACTATTGTGATAACATAAGTGGTTGTCAAATTATTATTTACTTATAAGCTCTTTTAAGTTGCTAAAATTTACAGGTACACATTATACTTACAGCTCTTTAACTAGTTCAAGTACCTTCGCTACCCATGTATCATTTGGTCTAATTTTAAATAATTTCTCCAAATCAACAAGTGATTCATTATACCTTTTCATCATATAATTATTTTCACTCCGATATTTTAAAGCTAATGTATTATCTGGTTCAATTTCCAGCAATCTGGTTAAATCTTCAAATGCTTCATCATATTTGCCCATAATAAAAAACAATTTCCCTCGGTAAATTAATTCAAATGCATTATTTGGTTCTTTTTTTAGTGATTTTGTTAATTCATCGGTTAAATTAACAAGTATATTTCCATATCCACCCATAATAAAGTAACCTTTTTCTTGATATTCCAATGTTAATGCACTCTTTGATTTTTTACTAATGTCTTCGTTTTTCTTTTTTGTTTTGAAACCCTTTAGTAGTGTTGTTAAAGGACGCCATCGGCGTTCGTTAATATCTTTATTAGCAATTGCTGCCAATTGAAATACGCTAATGTCTTCATTAGTAATTGCTGTTAATTGAAATATATATATATACAATGTCAAGTTCTAAATAAATCAAAAAAGATTAGACCTTTTGAATAAATTTACCGGAATATTTAAATCCTTTGTTGCCGAAATTCACTTCTATTGACCCGCCTTGCGATCTAAATCCAACACAAGGATATAGGATATCTTTGAAATTGCTATTTAAATGGCATGCAATTCCTTAAAATATTTATAGTTATTAAATTTCTATCTATTAGCTTTAAGAAATATAAATTTTAATTTTTAAAATATTAGTCACCTAAGTTGATTCCATTCTTAGTATAAAATACTATATTATTTCTAAAATTTAGATAGCATCCAATTGTATCACCAGTAGTATATCCAGGAACATTTCCTTTATATTTTAAATC